TTTATCTCTCTCTCTCTCTCTCTCTCCATCTCTATCTTTATCTCTTTTATCTTTCTCTTTATCCTTTATATCTCTATCTCTTTATCTCTCCATCTCTCTCTCACACACACATACACACATTCGCTCTGGGTCTCTCATTCTCTCTTACACATTCTCTCATTCTGGGTCTCTCATTCTCTCTCTTGGTCTCTCTCATTCTCTCTATCTCTATCTCTATCTATCTTTCTCTCTCTCTTCATCTCTCTATCTTTCTATCTTCCCCCCCCCCCTCACGCAGGGCGCCTTCCTGGTGACGCAGGCCGTGGCCCGGGCGCTGGTGGAGAGCGGGGCCAGCGAGGGCTCCATCATCCACCTGGGCAGCGTGGTGGGGAAGGTGCGTGGGCCGTCACTCCCCGCGGGGGGACCCCGGCAGGGCTGGGGGGGGGAAGGAGGCTTGGCCCCTGGCCCCCTCCCCTCTGCCGGGCGAGCCCCCTCCCCACCTTCTCTCTCTCTCTCTCCGCCCCGGCCAGGTGGGGAATCTGGGCCAGGCGAACTACGCGGCTTCCAAGGCGGGGGTGGAGGCCCTGGCCAAGACCGCAGCCAAGGAGCTAGCCAGGTGAGGGGGGGGGTTGGGGAGGGATCGGGCCCTAGCACGGTCGTTCAACCAGTCCGGCGTCCCCCGCTGACTTTTGCTCGCCGGGGGGGTCACAAAAGGGGAATCACGTGACTCCTGGACATAAATATGAGTCGGTCAAGCGTCGGAAGGTAAATCACGTGAGGCCGCGACGGTCGTAAGTACGAAACACGGTCACAGGTCCCTTTTCCCGGTGCCGTCGTAAGCCGTACGCCAGGGGGTCTTCCCGCTGGGCCCGTTGATGACGTGTGGACTTCAACGCCCAGAATTCCCCAGGCAGACACGCTGGCTGGGGGATTCTGGGAGTTGAAGTCCACAAGTCTTAAAGAGGGACACATTTTGGGGACCCTGATGCTGGCTTGTTATTCTACATCGGGGGGGTCTTCCAACGTGGCCCTTGGAGGACGTGTGGACTTCAACTCCCAGAATTCCTCAGCCAGGCACGCCTAAGGCGTGCCTGGCTGAGGAATTCTGGGAGTTGAAGTCCACACGTCCTCCAAGGGCCACGTTGGAAGACCCCCTGGCGTACACCACGGGGCCTGCTTTAAGAAGGATCCACCTTCTTGGTGGGGGAGACGAGGGCGTTAAATCGGGGCCGGGCGTTGGGTGAACTGGGCAAACTGGGCGGGGGGCGGCCTTGAGAGAAGCTGCTGCACCCCAGTGGTCCATTTCTTTCCCCCCCCTCCTCCCAGGTACGGCATCCGTTGCAACACGGTTGTGCCGGGGTTCATCCGGACCCCCATGACGGACAAGGTCCCCCCCAAAGTCCTGGATAAGGTCAGCGTCTCCTGCAGGAAGCAATTGGGGTGGGAAGGGGGGGGCAGAGACATCTGGGGAGGGGGGGGGGAATGCTGGCTGATTTCCTTTCCTTTCCTTCCCCTAGTTCGCTGCCATGGTGCCCATGGGACGCCTGGGGGAGCCTGAAGGTGAGGCATACACACACAAACACACACACACACACACACACACACCTGCTGGAGGGAAAGGGTGCCTCTGCTCATCTACAGAGTGTTCCTTGTGTCGTCTTGGGGTAAAGGTTCTCTCCGCCTCGGAGGCGGCCACGAAAAGAGGGCCGGGGGGGGCTTATGGGGCTAAGGGGGACAGTAGGCCTGGGGGGGTTTGAAAGGGGGGGAGGAATGGCATCCCTAGCTGGAGGTGGGGAGAGGAGGGCCAAAGGCCTAGACCCCGCTCTGGGTCCACACACGGGGTGCATCCAGTACCGCGACGGAGCGCGCAAGGAGCTGGACCTCAAGAGGATTAAAAAAAAACAAAAAACCCTTTTTCAGCTCGTGAGTTTTTCTGGAGTTTTTGCCCAGGAATAAAACTCGGAGCTTCCCAGACCCAGAAGGCACACACACACACACACACACTTTCCATCTATCTTCCCCCCAGATGTTGCAGATGTACACACACACTTTCCATCTATCTTTCCCCCCCAGATGTTGCAGATGTACACACACACACTTTCCATCTATCTTCCCCCCAGATGTTGCAGATGTACAAACACACACACACTTTCCATCTATCTTTCCCCCCCAGATGTTGCAGATGTACACACACACACTTTCCATCTATCTTTCCCCCCCAGATGTTGCAGATGTACACAAACACACTTTCCATCTATCTTCCCCCCAGATGT